CTATTTATGAGGCAGGTACTACTGTTAACCCCATTTCACAGAGCAAGAAACTGAGGCTCAGTGAGTGAGGTTAAGGGACTCGCCCCAGGCCAGACAGCTCATGATGGGAGGAGCTGCTGAGGGAGGTCCCCTGCCTTCAGTATCGCTGCCATGCTGGAATATGACCCTATCCATCTGGCATGAATAAGGAGGTGTACCAGCAAGAGGCTCCGTGTGGGGAAGCCGTTGAACTAGGACTAAAAGAGGAACACTACAAGGAGACATATGTGGACTCAACATAAGGAAGGGCAGATGTCCCAGCCGTCAGAGTGGCCCAGGGGTGAGCAATGGCTGTCGTGGGAGGGAATGAGCTGCCTGTCGCTGAGTAGATGCAAGTTCGCTTTTTCTGAGGCCCTTAATAATAGACACTGTACTGAGCACTTACATATGTCATCTTTAGGTCCTTGATCACCTGGGCACTGTTGTCCCCAGCTTACAGATGAGGAAACTGAGGCTCAGAGAGATTGACTTATTGGTGGTTATGCAGATGGTGAATGGGGGAGCCATGACTCAAACCCAAAGCTCTGCCTGTGTCCGTACATCTGCTGAGTGCCTGCTGTGTGTCCAGCAGGGACGGACCGTTTAGTCCCAGTCCTCCCCCTCATGGAGATCGATCCCAGTAGGAGTGAGACAACCTGGAGGAACGAGTGCTGACATAGAATCGACCAGGACAGGTGAAACCAAGAGTAAGCTGGAGTCAGGGAGATCCGGGGTGGTCAGGGAGGCCACTCTGAGGTGGTGGCATCTGAGCTGAGACCTGGGGGGCGAGAAAGCTTGGAGAGCGTTATGAAGAGCTGGGAGAACAATGCTCTGAGCAGAGGGAACCACAGGTGCAAAGGCCCTGAGGTGGGGCAGGGGAAGACCAGTGTGGGAGGAAAGGCCAAGGTGGGGGCCAGATCATTCAAGGCCTGGTCAGCCAGGGTTTGGCCTTCATTTGAAATTATTGGAGGATTTTACACCAGCAGTGCACTGCAGACAACTCATACCAGCCCCTAAAAACCACCTCTTAAATCTTTGCAAGCAGGTTAACTATTAGTAGCTTGAAATCAGCCACAGTGGGAGCATTTACACCATGGAAAATGGCATTTACACCATGGAAAATGGCATGCGCCACAAATCATGGCTCTGTGCTCTGGGCAGTAAGGTGGTTATTTTTCTGCATTGCACTGGCTTTAGGCAGGGAAATGGGGAGATTGGGCTGCACTTTAAGGAGAACTCTGGCTGCTGGGTGGAGAATGGCGAGCAGGAGGGGAGGGTGTTGCACTGGTGCATGCAGGAGAGATGGGGCTTTGGACCAGGGTGGGCCAGTGGATGGATTGGAGCGATTTTGGAAGCAGAACCAGCGGGCCTTGCTGAGGCTCTCCCTGGTGCAGAGCAGGGAGGAGGGTGTAGGAGCCAGGCTGGGGGTCTCACAGAAGGAGCAGCCACCGCACCGCGTCCTGGGCCCTGGGACTTGCCTCCTCCTGCACCCAGGCTGGGAGGGAGCGGAAGGGACAGATCTCGGAGAGTCTGTCTCCATGGAGGGTTGAGGGGACCTAAGCATTGTCTGGTCTTAGCAAACTCCCAGCAGAATAAAGAGGCCATGCTTGCCTTCCCCGCACCCACTCAGCCCCCAGCCCCCAGGCTGCACACACTCCCCACCCTTCCCCAAACCACCTTTGGCAGCCAACCCCAGCAACAGGGCTCCTGGGCTTCAGCCCCTCCCGCTGTCAGAACGCTCTCTCAGGAAAGGGTCCTTGCTAGCGGTCACTGCCATGTGACCTTCTGGAGGGAGAGAGCGGCTCTGTGCTACTTGCTCACCTCAAAGAGGTACGATCATAGATGTTTCCCCTCATGCCCTGCCCCTAGGATAAGGCCTGCAAAAGTTTACTCACCCGCTTCTAGACTGTCTTCTGCACGCGCGCACTCATTAATTTCTTAAAATGAGGCGATGCTAAACGTTCCATGTGGATCATCTCGTTTAATCCTGGGTGCTGTGACCTCGCCGTTGTACTTTAGGGAACTGAGGCTCAGAGTGGTTGTGCACGTTCCCTAAGGTCACACAGCGGCCGGCTTGCCTGGCTCCACAGACTCACTCTGCATCCTCAGTGTCACTTACTGCTGGGGAAGGCTGGCCATGTCCTCGTGGGGGCATTTGGGGCTGCAGGGCAGTCGGGGTTGGAATTCTGGGCCTCGGGCCTGATCTGGCCCATCCTTCTGCTGTGCCGTGAGACTCAAGCTCTGGGGTCAAATTCCAGCCCCAGGAGTCCTTGTTAAGGCTTTAAAGGGGGTGGAGGGGGGATTCTACTGCCATGTGATTGGGGCTCTGCCCTTGAAGCGGGCTCCCAGCTCCCAGGGTTCCCAGCCGTCTGGAACGGATGGCCTTGCCTTGGGTCTCTCTCCCAAAGCCCAGGGGACAGAGCCAGGCTGGGCGGTCTGGGACCCGGGCCCCTCACCGGCTGTGTAACCTTGGCAGTTCCCCCCTCTCCCTCAGCCTTGGTCTTCTCTCTTCTAAAGTTCCTTTGAGCTCCAGTGTAAGCCCCCAATTCTTCCCCTGGATGGGGAGGGTGGGGTCTGCAACTTGCTGGTGGAGGGGTGGGGAGGGGGTGGGGGGAGATAGAGTGGGGAGGGAGAGGAGGGGGAGGAGGAGGAAGTGGGGAAGGGGAGGAGTGGGAGGAGGGGAAGGAGGAGGAAGAACCAGAGTGTGAAGAGGGCTCTGGGGCAGGTAGTTAGGGAGGGAACAGGTTCAGGAGTCCGTAGACCTGGGTGCAGAGCCCAGCACAGGACATGTGAGGGCGCCTGTGCTCACGACAGCCCGTATTTGGACTTACGTTCTGCTGTTGCTGACATGAAATCCTCAATTTTCTGAATGGGAACCCAGCATTTCCATGTTGCCCTGGGCCTGCCCTGCGACCCGTTAATTAGCCGCATGTCCTTGGCAAGTTACTTCCCTCCTGGACCCTCAGTTTTCTCATCTGCAAAATGGAGCAGGGCGTCCACCACCTTGAAGCTTGTTTGGAGAAGTACATGGCGACTTCAGGCAAAGGGCCAGGCAGGGTAAACCCATGATCCGTGTCAATCCCTGGTCATTGGACGGTCGCTCCTTAGGGCCTGACAGGGAGAACTCTCACAGGAGCAGCCGCAGTCCCTCTCCCAGCCTTGTCCCCTGCGCCCTGGACACTGCCCAGGACACCTCGGGCCAGAGATACGTCCTTCCTGGGAAGCAGATCGCTCCACCATCCCTACACCCCCTGCCTGCGGTGGTGCCGGGTCAAGCGGATTAGGGCTCGCCCGGCAACTCCACCTCCCAGAGGGTCCTGGAGTTCCGACAGAAGGGTTAACATCTCAGCTCAGTGCCCAGCCGCAGGGCTCCGTGGTTGAGCATCAACCTATGAACCAGGAGGTCACGGTTGGATTCCTGGTCAGGGCACATGCCCGGGTTGTGGGCTCGATCTGCAGGAGGCAGCCGATCAATGATTCTCTCTCATCATTGATGTTCCTATCCCTCTCTCCCTCTCCCTTCCTCTCTAAAATCAATAATTTTTTTTTTAATCTCAATTTCCCAACAGTGAGACCTTCGGCGCGTTACTGAACCTCAGGGGCCTCAGTCTCCCACCTGTGAAGTGAGGGCTCTGCCAGGTGGTGTGTCGCACTAGGGTGAGCCCTGCAGGAAGGTGCTCAGCACTGTGCCCACAGAGGTCAGCCGCCGCCACCGCGGGCCGCCTGCCTCGTGTCCACCCTGAGCGGGCGCACCCTTCTGCAGCCAGGCTGACCAGGCCACGCCCGCAGCAGAAACCCTC